ATGCTACCTCATTCCTATGCCGCAACATGGCAGTTTAAGCCCATCTGAGTCAGCCCATCAGCAACATAACACATTTATGAAACTATAGAAAATGAAGGTTCAATTTTTATTGCTTTGATAGAGTTCTGACAAAGAAAGTGAACTGAGTCAGAAGCAAAACATTTATAGGAAAAGAAGTAGGGCTCTTTCTTTCCCAGTGGGAGACTTTTTCCCCCTGTGGCTCTTTTCTGATCAAATAATGTAGGATTTTGTGTTTCCTTAAATAGTCAAGACACTTCACACCAAGGCTGATGAATTCTACACACGGACTGCCTAATCATGTGATGTCCCTACTTGAAACCTTTCATCATTTCCAACACCTTTCAGGAGAAAACCCAACTCTCTAACATACCAAAAAAGAAAAAGAAAAAGAAGAAGAAAGAAAAGAAAGGAAAAAGTAAAGAAAGGAAGAGAAAAAGTTCTAAAGATAAGACTCCTACTTAACTGCCCAAACTCAGATTTCTGTACTCCGAGGCCCATCCTACCCATTCCAGACTTCTTATAGCCCCCAAAGATGAGAAGTCATTTTACACATCCATTCTTTTGCTCACTTGGCTGCGTTGAAAACTTCCCTTCCCAACTCCAACCCTTCTGCGTAGTACCATCTCTCCATTCAGCTTTTCAAGAATTATCTCACACATAACTAACTTTTCTTTCAAGATGCTCATCTATGGAGACAACCCTTTTTGCTTGTAGAACTGACCACTTCCTCTTTGGTATTTCCACCAGTGTCTGTAACATTCCATAATAGTAGGTCCAAAATGTGCTACATTTAGATCAAGCTGTATCAGAGTCAAAGCTACTGACATTCTAGACTGGATAATTCTTTATGTTCTATGGTTTGAACAGCATCCTGGCTTCTGACCACGACATGCCAGGAATACTCCCCCTCATGTAATGACACCCAAAAACATCTCCAGACACTGACAAATGTCCCCAGGGAGGCAAAACCACTCCAGTTGAGTTAAATGTACATTTTTTTCTCCCCTAATAAATTTGTAAGCTTCATAAGGTCAAAAGTACTGCATTCACCTTTGTATTCAGGATCTAGTGGAATGCCAGGTCTACTATAGATTCATAAGAAATGTTTGTTAAATGAAGGATCATCTTTTTATAAAAGAGATAGATTATACCATACTATCAAAATGTAGAAAATCAGCTGTATCAACATCTAGTCCTGATTAAGAAAATGCTTTTACATTTTAAACATTATATCACTAATGAAATTAAAATTTTCTATTTCAATGAAACATCAAGTATATTAAAATCCTCAAATTAACCTACCTATCATTATAAATAATTTTTATTTATATTCATATGGTTTTAATACAAAGAAAATGGTATTTGGGTCTACAAGTTGATTTGAAATTACATCTGTGTAGGTAAAACTCTTGGATTAAAAATTGCTTGAATTTAGTCAATTGATGTATTCATATTTTTTTAACAGTCATACTTTTATGTTCTCTAAATAGCTTTAATAATTGCTTTACTTTTTAAGAAAATGCTCAGCTAGTGCTTTTTATACTCTATAAGTAGTTTTTCACTTTTTAAAACGTTTGTAAACTAGAAAGTATTTAACTTAACACAGTCCATCATTAAGTCTCCTTTTCACTTCATTAACATTAATGGCACACATTTCTATGACAGAATTAATAAAGCAAAAAATTTTAGAAACCAGAAATATGTTACTTTAATTTTAAATACCTATTCAAAATAGTTTTCAAATAGAAATGCTATGCCATAATTCAAATACATGAGCACAAATGCACATAATTATACACTTGTTTTTTAAATATATATATTTTATAGATAATAATTTAAAATCTCTAAAAGAGTAGCATTTTTTAAGTTTAAGTGCAATTATTTTGACTTCTTATATTCAAATTATGATAAATTACATTTTAAACAGAAAGCAAGCCACAATTTCTTTCCAATTCCTTAATATCTTATCTAAAGAAAAATGGTTTGATTTGAAAGTACAATTAATGTAATATACAGAAGATTTATATTCAGTGGCTTAGTGATTGTGTGTTCAACAGAGAACTAGTATAATTATATGAACGCTTGCTGTTTATTAGCTAAGCATATTTAAGCAAATGTCACACTTAAAATTCTAACATGACAAAAAGTGGTCTTTCTTACTCTAATGATACAGTTTCATCATAAATGACTATATTGTTTGTGAAAGTTTAAAGTTAACCTCATTTTATAAAGAATCCTAACTTTACAAACAAGTAAAGCTGTTAATGTTTTCATTCAGTCACAACATTTTAACCAAACTAAAAATATCTTTTGTATTTAGCATCTGGATTTTTCACATATATAGCAATTTAGAAATAACAAAACTGTTGTATTAATCTAACTTTAATTTTGCTGTCCTTGAGATTTAGTAGCTTTGCCCGCACCCAAAGGTTTGGCTCTATAATATTTTCTAAATGTTCTTGTCACTTAAAAAAAGTCATAAAAATTCATGTATATAATTTTGTTTTTTTATGTTTCTTTATGTGCTAGGATATCGTATTGTGAGTTCTAGAAAAGCAGCAGTCAGTAAACGATGGCTTGCAGGTTGAATTCTACTCATCACCTGTTTTTGTAGAGACCATGAACAAAAACAGTCTTCACATTTTTTTAAATGTTAAAGAAAGTCAAAAAAGGAATAACATATTTCATGAGAAGGAAAAATTATATGAAATTCATATGTGAAGGTGAATAAATGAAATGTTATTAGAACATGGTTATCCTTATTAATGTGTATATTTTGTATGGCTGCTTTTGAGCTAAAATGGCAGAGTTGAGTAGTTGTGACAGAGACCTGCAAAGACTAAAATACTAACTATGTGTCCTTTTCATTAAAGTTTGCCAACCCTGCTTTAAACAGTTAGTATATGATTCTATACACTCACAACACAGAAATCTGGGGGACAGGACACAATATATTCCCAAGGAGATTTCTTTTAGCCTATGTTATTTTATTATTTTCTGAATATATTTTTCTGTAAGGTATGGTAAAGACCATTGGTCATTAGCAATGCAATACCACGGTGTTCATTGAATATTTGAAAAAGTATTATTGAACTGATTGAATTGATCATTTACTTTTTGAGGTGTACCTTTCTTTGCCATGTCACTGAAATCTTCAGAGCTTGGAGATCCTATAATTTTCCACCTGAAATCCACTTAGACATCTAATAACAATCAGCAAGGACTCTGAATCTGTAAAACTCAGGCTCATGTTTACTTTATTATGTCTTGATAAAGCTGATATGCCTGGCTTGAAGCTACACCATTTTGTAATGAACAAAACACAGCAAACCAAATCAAGCTTAATTTATAGTCTTGACCCAGTTTATATTCCAGCTTAAATACAAGAAAGAGGGAAAGAAGTACAAATTTAATAAATTAATCAAAAAATTGAATTCCTTGCAAGCAAACATTGCTAATAGGCATTTAAATAATACAAAAGATTATCATTCTCTGCTAAAGAACTTAATGCTTTCCAAGCTATTGAAAAAACTACAAAAACATAAATCTTCAGCAATTCACTGTTTGCTGCCATAACTAGATTGCACAGTCTGAGCATCTGCTCATGGTTCAAACGTTGCCTTTAATATTTCCTGGCAGAAAAACATGATTGTTTACTACCTCTGCATCATTATCATAGGCCTTCTTTAAAGAGAGGGGAAGCTTTAAATGTTTTGAAAGGAATGTATAATTTGCTAGGACATATAACATGATCATTATTATATTATATGACTATTAACAATAAGAATGAACTCATTTTTATTTTGAGGATGCTTCTGAAAAATCTCTAAAATGAAAGCCCATACAGCACATTTCTAGGTTTTTATATTTACCTAAGTATTATAATAGTAAAGAAAAATCAAAAATCATATTAAAAAATGTATGTATACCAAGGAGGAATGACTCAAATAATAGTTCTGATATGTGTCTTTAAGAGACAGTGACTGAAAAATGAATAATAGACATTTTCTATTAGGTATTAAAAGAAATACCACGCTTTTAGCTGTTCAAGTCCTTTTACTATCAAATTTATTTAAACCAATAGTGTAGAATTGTTTTTCTCTGGCCCTTAAAATGAATTCTAAAAAGCCAGTCCAAAGTGGCCAAACAAATAATGTCATATTCCTGAGAACCACAAAGATTATCTCAAATATATGACTTAAAAAATGAGTCTTCTCCTTAACATCAGAAACAATTGATTTTACCAAAGGCAGGCAGTCTTGGAACAGAAAGAGCCTGAAGACAATCTAAGAAATGGAGATCACGTTTCCTCTAAGTCATGGATGACTTCTTCCAGGTTAGATAAGATTCCATGGCAGTTATAACAATATAAGGTTAATCATTAAAACAATTTTCATTTAAGGAGAAGTCAGACCATAGTTGTTTTCAATTACCATATTATCTTTGTAATTAGAGTCAACGCCACCCATATTCAGCCAGCTTTTCTGGTATGATGGATTCCTGATAAAAAATCTCAATGTAAATTGCCTGCTTGCTCACATTCATGGATCACCTGTGGGCTGTAGCCTATGGCAGTAGATGGTGGCTGAAAGTCGAGTCTGAAATATAATGGTGTGGCAAATCCTGCACAACTTTTGACCTCAAGCTCTAATCTCAAAATTGCAGAAGCTGCCAGAAGAGTCAGCCCTTTCTCTACATCTAATCAAAATAATTGGGATGGGAACTAGAGTTCACAAAATAAAATTTTGTTTATGCCTCTCTGCCCTCAAATACGGGGAATGTATTTCACTTCCTTTTCCTATATTACGATAATTCCCAAGCCAACCCTTCTCCATCACTGCAACCACACCAACCAGAAGGGCTTTACTGGATGTTTGTTTTGTGTCATAAAAACATTACTCAAGTAAAACGAGTTTTGGGTGATAGCTAAAAAGGCAACATCTGCAGTCACTTCAAGAGGCTTCGTGCTGGACACTTACCCAAGTCCCTGCTTCCGGGGAGTCAGCTGTCCTCCATGTGCCTGGTTCTGCCGCATGTGACTGAATGCTGGAGTGCCTGGCCTTACCAAACTTTTTCAGAAAAGAGTCAACCCTTCAAATGAGAGAAGAGTTGCTCATTATGAGGAGCCTTTAAAAAGACAGAGAGGGGGTGGGAAACGATTTTAGACAAGCAAATGTTTCCACAGGTCTCAGAATATTTTGTAAGACTAATCATCACCAACATGAAACTTGAGCTCATCTTTTTTTATAGACCTTTGTGTCCTTCCAACGACATCTCTTTCAATTTTCATTTTATTCCCTTACTTCTTTTCTCTGACCTGCTTTTGATCTTCTATTTTATACTGTACAGAAGTCTTGAGTGGTATGTGTAAGTGAACCACCATCACCCTGCTGAGGGAAAGCCTGCTGGTCTAGAAAAAAAATCACAAAGTAAGAAACAAGGCCTGAGATTGGATTGGGAGTTAATCTGCACGGTTATCAATGTCCTGTTATGCTTCATGAAAGATGCCTGGTCCTTTCAATACTACATTTCATGTAGCGATGAAAATGGGATATGGAATACCATCGTGAAAACTGACTTGATTGGGATAATAATGACTAAGAGGCTGTTAATGCAAAAAAATCCAAACAGGCCCAATCGTGAAGAATGAGCTAGACACTGAAGCTGTTTCATAATCTCTGCTTTCATTTAGGGGCGTCCAAACAACTCTCATGCTACCAGCCTTTGGAGCCCTGGACCTGGCGTGGACATCATCTAAGCATTCTACCCCAATAGCTATTATGACTTCTTAGTGGGAAAGAAAGTAAGAATTTGGGAATTGGGCATCACAGGGAAAGTTTTTCAAGATATGACCACAGGAAAGCTTTGCTTTATGCACTTATAGTCCTTACAGATGACTGTGTGAAAGGTTGCAGCCCATTGTGTAGATTGATAGTACTCTATCATCTGTTTAATAATGATGGCCACCCTGAAAAAGCATATTGCTTTAACAGTCATACTACTGGCATATACCTTTATAAAATTTTATTTTTTTTGATTGGCTCAGGATTCTTTAGCATTTACGTTCTCAATTGCTTCTGTGACAGAGGCAAGTTGCCTCTGGTGACTGTGAACTGAGATTAAAATCTCAGAGTTCAGTCTTTTAAGACTTCTAGCCAACCCCCTGAACCAAACTATTTCCCTAAATAGCAAGTGAATTTAACGTTAATGTAACTGCTTGAAAAATAATAATAGCCAAAGGCTATGACGTTGCTTTCTATCTCCTGTTTAGTGTTGAGAGTTGGTGCTTTCTACACCAAACAAATCCAAGTTCATGTTTTTCTGGGAAGTGTAGGCTCCATAAACAAACATTCCTATAATATTATTCTACTCATGAATAAATAAGAGATACATGAATTTATTGATAGTTTAAATACCATTAATACCAATTTCCTTGTATTTTTTTGGTTAAGAACTCAGATTAAAAACATAAAAGCAGTCCTAGAAAACCTCTTTTAGGTCTTCCTAATTATGTTGATAGGAACTGCAGCTTTTCCTAATTCTCCAGAGGCTGTTTTACTCTAATGTGAAGCTTTCAGATTAGCTGTTTTCCCGTGATATTTCAGATTTTACTTTGAATACCTGTCTGCCACGTCCTCTACCATTTTAAAAGTTAAAATTACAATGCAACAGATTCAACTAGCAATTAATAAATTCTGTCATTTATAGAAAAAAATCAGTAGCTTCCGTCCTATGAGAAAAGGAACATTTCATAAATATTGAATACCACTCCCCACATACTCTACAAGTTGGTCAGCTAAGAAGACAGTAATTCCATTAGAGGCTTTCAGTGAGGGAAAGATAAAATAGTTGAGATGAAGTAACTGACATTATTTGTTACTATTTTACTTTGAAAACGTAGTAAACTGCAAGGCCATACATTCCACAAACTTCCAAGAGAAAATTTTCCCAGTTATCTGAAAACTCTAAGGCTCTTATTAGGGAATTTCTTGTTTTACAGACTATATGGCTTGCCTAATATTTGATTAGTTGTACATGCAGCTTATGCTTGTATCAGGGAATGATTTTAATTATATCAAGTATTCATCAGTAGCTGGTACCACCAGAAGTGGAAATCTGAGCAGCCTATCCTGTCCAGGAAAGGTCTTCCTCGATGTTTCATAACCAGAGGATAGGTGACCAACGTGCTTTAGTTCCTAACAGAGGCAGAATTGAGACTAGGAAGATGCCCTAATAACCATATCCTCAGACTAGATGGCTCAGTCCCAACTTCCCTCAAAAATCATATGCCTAAACCCTCAATGACTGGATCTCTCCAGCTAGAAAATGAAAGTAAAATGCCCTCCTTGTCAGATGGAGCTATGATAAAGCATAGTTAGTAAGTCAGTACTTTAGGATTATGCTTACAGTAGAGTTACTTTCTCTCTACCAGTCAATATAAGTATCTTTTCAATATGAGATATGAAGCTGAGATTTTGTCTTTTTATTATTAGCATCAATCCTAGAATGATGAGATTGGCATTTGCCAACAGTGTGTGATATGGGTAAGGTGTAAAGGTTGATTCCCGCTGTAGACTCACAAAGTTATCTCTCAATAATGGAACTGCCCTGAGGGCTGTCCTTGCCCACTTCACCTAACTATGCACACTTACTTCCTGGATGATTCCATTTCATCCAGTTTTATAGCACTTACTTTCTAACAGAACACATAATTTACTTATTTATGTATCTTCTCCCTAATTTCTAGCCAACCCCATGGGTCTTCCTTGTTCCCTAAGGCTTCCCTAGTACCTAGAAGAACTCCTGGCATACAAGAGGCACTCAGTAGTATATTTTGAATAAATGAATGAATGAAAAAAGTGAGGAATTATAGAAAATGCATTTAACTCTTCCTTACAATTTCAAAGAGGGAAAATATGTTTCTCTCAAAGTTAAAGGAGATTGTAAATAAGACCAGTTTTAACAAGGTTTTCTATTAAAACAAAACTTTACCTTCACACTAAAGAACTGTATTATAAAATAAATATCAGAATGTGGTATCTCTAAGCCCCTATGCTTGATGAAGTCAGTACCATCCAAATGTTTAGCCTGACTTACAGAATCCCTTTTTGTTTTAAAATGGACCTGAACTCAATGATACAAAGGAGCTCACAAGACACATATAGGTTGATTTTTTATTTTAATTGATATAATCAATTAATCCAGCAATCAGAAAATAATTTTTGACATCATAGATCCTCTCGTACTAATTTACTTACTTTTCATTTTCTACTGGTATATGGGCATCTTGTAGATGCACACTAGCGGGTTTCTTCCTGCAGAGCTGAATTGTAGGAGAGCTACAGATTTTATAGGTACTTACAAAAAGCCCATGCATTCTCTTAAACACAAACAAATTGGTTATAGGTCCTAATGGGATTTCAGGCCACACAGCATTGTAGACAAGTTATAAAAACAGATTCAGCCACACTTGAAAGATGCCCAAACAAGCTTTACACATAAGTACAATCGATTTCCCAACTCAACAAGTAATTTAACCAAATATTTCTAATCTTAAGAGTCTAAAAGCTGAATAAATTAGCTTTATTTCTTGATCAACATAAACTGATAGTTGATAAGTTAGCAAACATCTATAAAGTAAAAGTTTTACTGTGTTGTAGGTATTATTGTACCACAAAATGGGAAAATGTTATTAAAGGATGTTGGATTTATTACCTTAAGACAATCAGTGGAAATACTGATATGTTGTTGTTCATATATCACATGATATTTTAAACCTTTGTTTGTTTTTTCAGGTATTTTTAGAGATTCCTCTTACACACAAGATTTACTGACCTATTCTGGATGCTATCTATGGAGAATTTGTGGTGATTACAGAATTTATAGTACTATAATTTCTTGGTAGTTATTTATTTACAGATGATCAATTCCAGGAACCAGCTTTACTAGGTATCTGATATTGAATAACTTTAAGAAAGCTTTTAAATCATCCCTAGATTTATAAGGCATTTCCTTGTTTCTTGGATTACTTAAGCACACTCATTTCTGGAAATATCTAATCAAAACATTAAATTTAAAATAATTGCAAATTAGAGTGCTGATGGCCATAAAAATGCAATTACTGCATCAGTTCACCAATACAGTTCTATTTGCCAATAAAAGCACTGAAATTGTGGTATGTATTTCCAGCAAATCTTTGTTGAAAGCCACAAACTGAATAATGGTAGGAAAAATTGTTCTAATCATATCTCCATTGTCAGAATAAGGCAGCCCATTCCTTTTCAAACCAAAGATTCTAAGAAATGTTTAAGCCAGAAACACAAGCTACTGCAATAGTTTCAGTACACATTCTAGAATGAACTCTTATTTTCATTCACCTATTTTCTAGAACAGGAAATGAATTTCAAGAACTAGCAAGGAGGGGATAGTGTAAATAAGTTATAGGAGCCACCGGTAGATGGGCATATGGGCCCATCAGGTGAGTAGCTGGAACCACATTCAACTAGAGAGCACAGAGCTTGCCTAAAGGCAACAGTGGTTACACTCTTTCAAGAGATTGTTGCCATGCAGGAATACATTACCCAACATTGCCAGAAATTCCAGTTTTTCAAGAAAAGAGCAGATCAAGGTTTTTATTTACAACCATCCAAATTGTCTATGTTGTCTCATTTTTTTAATCATCTTCACATATTTGAACTAAATTAAACCTTTGAGCTACCAATGTGTACCTTGTCTAGAAATCTGGGACATCAATGAAAATTAGAGTGCTGATGGCCATAAAAATGCAATTACTGCATCAGTTCACCAATACAGTTCTATTTGCCAATAAAAGCACTGAAATTGTGGTATGTATTTCCAGCAAATCTTTGTTGAAAGCCACAAACTGAATAATGGTAGGAAAAATTGTTCTAATCATATCTCCATTGTCAGAATAAGGCAGCCCATTCCTTTTCAAACCAAAGATTCTAAGAAATGTTTAAGCCAGAAACACAAGCTACTGCAATAGTTTCAGTACACATTCTAGAATGAACTCTTATTTTCATTCACCTATTTTCTAGAACAGGAAATGAATTTCAAGAAC